GCAATATTGTTCTTCAAGTGCCAATGCACCGATATTTCTTCAGAGAACGGCCATGTAGCGACGTTTTCAAGAAGGTAGAAAAGATGCGAGTAACACTGGATGCCAAAACTTTTTTTTAACTGTAGAGTGGAACAATGCCAGTTGAAACATTTTTAAAAACGAAGGGGTGCTTTTTGCTTTGGGGGACACATTAGTTTATTAGTAAGCTACCAGAAACTATAGATCTTGTTTTTGTTTGACATTGTAGGCAGGAGGTTGATTTTTGGGATGTTTTGCAGAGATCAATGAAAAAAGAATTCCCACTGGACCCTCGTGGCATCAGATTTCTAAATGAAGGAAACGAAGACGGGATTCCTTTCGATGCAGTTATGCTTATAGGCCTTCACTGCAAATGTAGAGGCAGGTTGCCATTTGAATAAGGATGCACGGCTTGCTCGGGTCTATTTCAGAGAATGCAGTCATTGGTTTTTTGATATTTATAAAGTGACTCTGGAGCCACCCGAATGGCTCCCATGACTAGAGCCGCTGGTGAACTTGCGCGAATTTTAGCCTAACGAAACTAGCACCATCCTGGTTGTATATTCAGTCACCATGTAAATATTGTATAATGTATTCTTTCTACCCAGTTAATAAACTAAAAAAAGCGGCGTGGCTCTGCGGTAGGTTACAGAACTGGCACGTACAAGACCCGGGTTTGTTGAATTCCTATGTGTCATTATTTTTTTTGTAAATAGGCTCTTTTACTATTTAACGCGATATTGGTTGCAGACACCGGCGGTGGTGGCGGAAAACTACGGTACACGCGACTCTTGTTGTCATCTCATAAAAGCTTTCGCTGTGAAAAAAAAAAGGCAGTTCAAACAACGTGACATTGTTGAGGCTTACCGAAGCAGGAGATGAGTGTGTGAGCTGCCCATATTAGGTGTTAAAAGAAAATGAAGAAGTTTTTCTTTGGGCGCATTGATACTCAATGATCTGGTTTTAAATTTCTGTTTAAGACTCTAATCTGCGCAATCTCTTGAGAAATCAAGTGTGCATGTGTACACAGAGTTTCCCATATATCCACTAGAGGAAGTTGTGGCGCTAGTGTTTATGGAAGCTGAAACGCATGGCGCTTCAGCGAGCATGGAAATTATGGGTAGTACAAGAATTTGCCTAGTATTCGATCTTTACGTTCTTTTTCACTTCGTGTGGCTTGGAGCTGCTGTGTCACGAAACAACAATCGGCAAATATTCAGCGGTTGTGCTTCATCACCTTAATCTTTTAGGTTTACCATTTCAAATAGGGTCACAAAGTTCCAAAGGGTTCGTTCTTTCCTTCGAAACGAAACCGAAACACAACAATAAACGAAGCCACGAGGTCGATTCGCCACCCGCAAGTACGAATACTAGGCAAGTCCGTGTACTACCCATCGTTTCCATAGTCGTCGAATAAGCGCAGCGCCAGAGTACCATCTAGGTAATCTTAGGAAGCGCAATGCATGTGTATGAGCTCGACGCGCGGCTATATCATGATTTTCGTTTCAAAGAACGTCAGCTGCAAGTTAGCGTGAGTCCTTTTGTATTATTGAGAACTAACCGACAATGATGCTAAGGATAGCACAGGGGCTGTTATTAACAGTAATTGCAATCTAAATGTGAGGAATGAAAAGTGGAGGAAAAGATAACTTGCCGCTGGCAGGGACTGAATCTGAGACCTTCAAATAACGCGCCTGATGCTCTATCAACAGAGCTATAGCTGCGATTATCTTCCCGTCTACTTTGTGGGTTATATATGCGGATTTTAAACGTGGAAGTGTAAGTCAGCGCCCCCGGTAGCCATTACGGCCAGCTTGCAACATTCTTTTCCTGCCTGCCGGTGCCCCGCAGCACTTGATTTAATTACAAGCTGGAAGCTGACCAATAATCTCTCGCGTGCTACCCAAAGGCTTCAAGTCTGCAAGAATGAGACCTTCGCTATGAATGAAGGAAAGGAGCAGAAATTTAAGGAATTCTAAATTATCATTGGCATGACTGCTAGTTAGTCCTCAAGATTATTATATCTAACAAACAAAACGAGCCCCAAATTTTCCCTTTTTTTCATTTTGCCCGGTTCCATGCGTTTCTTTTTCATTGTACGCACTTTTCAAGTTTCCTTTATGGAAGCCTTCCTTGAACACGCCTGATAAATTTCGACTTGGAAAAGCTTTGATGTTCGCCGTGGCGGCGTAGCGGTTATGGCACTCTGCTGGTCGCTCGCAGGTCGCGGGTTCAATTCACATAATAAAATTGAAGATCACATTGTAATAATGAAGGCTTGTATAAAGGATTAAAAGTAAAACATATAGCCTGCATGCTAGATTGTAGGAGATTATATAGACCCCGATTAAAACAGGCATGCTCTCCCGCTTCTTGTTGTAGTCTTTCCAATAAGATGCAAACAAAGATAACAATGATTGTCATCATCTTCTTTCGTGCCATTAATTTTAGCTTAGCTCACCAGTCTCCAATAATATCTCCTCTCTTAGAGGAAAGCGTAGTAGCTTTTGATATAATGGTTTACGCTCTGTAAAGTTAGCTTGGTCGATTTGCTCTTCTGTAAGTCGCACTGCTATGCCTGCATTATTTTGCGTTAGTGGGAATGATTAAATTAACTGGATCAGTCAGACTTAGTTTGTGGCCATGCTTAGCGTATTTCAGTGTTGCTTAACAAACGTCTTGTATTTATGTCTGCCGCATCGTTTTGCTAGTCGGACATTCACCGATAAGGAATGCAAAGCGAGAAGCGCAATCGCGTAGACACAGAGGTTTTCATAGGTATCCTCCTTTGCCGACCGATAAGAACGTAACAATGTTCAGCCATTACAGCCTTTCAAGCAATCATCATGTTTTCTTATGCATATAAACTGGGGGTACGCCCTATGTTTGGCCTTATAGACTTAGTATACGTGATAACAAGCATCGTTGGTGATCTTGCTGTCGACATTGCTAGGCGTTGTTAGGTGGCTGGAGAGACCTTGGGATACGATGATGAATGACAGTCGACAACAAGCACAAAACTTATTCGCCAAAAAGGTGTAAACAACACAGAGGAGGCCGACTCAGTGGCTATTCTCTGGCAAGTCTTCAGTCAATGCTGCAGCGTAGTGGAGAAGATAGAAATCAAGAAAGACATAAAAAATTAAGAACATAAAAACATAAAAAAGCCCGCACCAATCAGGCTGATTCGCCGACAAACCAAAATAACGGTGTAGTTAAAACACGCAGTATACCTTGATCCTTGAAAACACGTTCCCTGCTTTAGGAAAAACAACCCTTGAAAAACAACAAGACATTCTTAAAAGTGCTAGCATGCAGAAAGCATTATTTTTGGGGGGTTTCAAGGAAGACGGTACAATTTCACTTCACTTTTAGTTTTGAACTTGACGTTTCTCATTGTGACGCTCTTTTTTTCAGTATGGAAAAATTTAATAAAATATATCTTTTTTTGCTATCACGACGTTTCATTCTATGTTTTTTCTTGTTTAAATGGTACTATACAATACATTATTTAATGTCTCGAGGATCTTTCGTAACTAGACTTACTTCTTAGCGTAGTCTTTCAGGCGAAAATGGAGTACCAGCGCTTGATTTTCGCACTACTGTAAGTATTGTTCATTATTTAAAATCAAGATAGAGAGGTATGTGTGGAATGGCGTTGCGAATAAGTATTGTTCTGAGAGCACAACATCTTCTTTAGGTCTTCACAAAAAAATCCACACCCGTCGCAAGTATCTTACGTTAGAGGAGCCCCGGAAATACCATTAGCGACCTATTTAGAACTGCGTGTAGGTGCAACTTTGTCTGACACGCACAAGTCACTCGAGGGGATGATATTTTTCTCGCTGTCTTCTCCGTAAAGATCCATGTGCGTTTGCTCAAAAGAAATTAGCGTCACTGTTACGTGTTCGCGCCGAAAATGAGATTTAATGTAAAAAGGAAGCGTTGCGAAATGGCAGAGCCTTGAACATCTCCCTACTTCATGCAGCTGCGGCTCAAGAGTCATGCGCATACTTGGTAATCTAAAGCAATGAGAAAGTCCACAATAAGCACTCGTGCATTCGCCAATTGGCACTGAACTTATTTTGCCTGCGCTGCTTTGATATCAGCAAGAGGATGTGACAGGAGCTTGTTAACGCTCCGGATGCTTGACAGAAACACCCCCGGTGAAAGGAAGCGTGCTTCTTGGACCCTACATCTTCTCTACTGCACTCATTACGGCGACCGAGACCTGACCTTAGCATTCCACTGTGTCGAATACGCCCTTTAATGTGTTTGGTCAAAACAAGCGAATGGCTTCAGTTCGCCTGCTTTCATGGCCTGGCTTATATGAAAGTTATAGTATCGGCCTCAACATTGCTTTTAATGACACACGGTCAATATACGTGAAATGTTGGTCAAGAACCACTCAGGCTATGATTTCTGACAAAATGTGGTCGAAACCACTATGAGGGGGCAAATTTTCAATAATTCTCTTTCAAACGCCGTCGGAGTACTCCTATGGACAACTATTTCGTCAACAACAAAAAATGCCTTCGACAACAGACGGCTGGCGTCCAGACGGCGTAGACAGCGATTCCCGCTTGCGTTTCTGTGGTCCATGTACTTTTGCTCATATGTGTTCATTCATACACTGACGAGTCTTTCTTTTTTACACAAGTGAAGGGTACGTCTCACGCCATTAACAGCATAAATAAAAGAAGCGCGTTCGCTTCGTCAGCCGTTAGGTCGGCTGTCGGGGGAGGATCGAAACTGGTTTTCGATTGCCCGCGAGGGTGCAAGGATTGCTTCAAGGGTCGCACACCGCTTATTATGCGCGCCGTCCTCGAGGATAAGATAACAGACAAAGAAGAAAAAAGGATCGCGAACGCTATGTGACGTAGAGTCAGCGGCACGGGGCGGGTTCCCGTTTCAGTCGGTTGGAGTCACTTGCCAGAGTCAGCTGGAAAAAAGGTAAGGCGAGTGCCGTCGCAACCGCCGACTACGGCGACGTCGCCTCTATGCGCTGTTTGCTCGTGCGCCTACCGTTACTCTTCGATGTTTTAGCCATGTAAAGCAAAGATCGCTAATGATTCTTACAGTGTCATTGCTCCACTTGAAAAAGAACTAAATCGGTCGCTGATACGGGGCTTTGGTAAATCCGCTAAAAATGCTCTCAAATTGCGTTCGTTCAACGCCATTCATTAGATATTCGAAATTGGAGAATATATCTCGTATGAATGATAAAAAAAATTCCCGGTTCTGTCTCGCAGAATGACACCGGGCACATATCTTCATACAATTTTTTAAAACTTGTGCTATTTTCGGTCCTATCGGTGCTGAAAGCGGTTTTACCGAACAGTTGTCACTATATAGAAATTTCTTCAGCTTCAAAAGTGCGTGCTTTAATTAAGAGCGATGACCGCTTATGCCATAAGGATAGTTGTAGCCACTCAGATGAATCGTGCAATAGCGGTTAGTTCATTTTTCTCAGTTGAAGTGCATAAAATGGCCCACATTCTAGACTGCCTGTCATGTTCCTTCCTTTATTCGACAGAAAATGAGGGTATTATTTCGGGCATGAATAGAGTTTAGCTCGTGTTTATACGAAAGCAAACTTTTTGTAAAGGGATACAAGAGCAGTCTTGAAGGGTGTGACGAATGTCTTAGTTTCACTAAGTCAACACCGCACAGTGGACATGTAACAGATTAAAAAAAAGTATTTTGACGCGTTCGCAATGTTTTTTGGTTATAAGAAGTTCACATTGAGAGGCTAATAAATGAAGCTAGTGACAGCCTGTGCGCCTACCTGCTGTTCTTGAAATTTATCCTTGCTAAACACCTGTTTTTGGTAGTTTTTATTTTACCTGAGACGAAAGTGCTATACTCTAAAGGCTGTTTTTTATATCTTGCAGGTTCAAAAACATCAAAATGCAGACGTTTTACGTGATTTGCGCTGCCATTGTGGCCTATGGTAAGCATTAGCCCTGAAGAATGTTTTTGGTGGGACAACTAGTGAAGATTGAAACAGATAACTACGTAATTAAGAAATCGGCTGCTGTGAAGTTGACCAATATAAGAAAGCAGTAGCAAACTCTGATTGTCCTAATCTTTGCCAAGTATTACGAACGTCTTTTATATTAACCTCCTGTTTTCAGCGTACAAAATATACTGTGATATGTATGTGTATTTACGTGTGCCAATATTTTTACAATCTTCATTGCTCGCGGCAACTGTGTATGTTATATGAAATGAAAATACGCTTACTGTTCGCTAACATTTTTGTCAAGTTTGATAGTGCATGGGCCAAAGAATCTAAATTCTTGTGAAATTGTGAGTGCCGATTTTTGTGTGCTCAGGAATATTTTTCTTCTTTTCCTATTTTCGCTGTCTCCTCAGCTTCGGCAGCGACTATTATGGACTCAAACGTGTTCATGGACACGGTCCTTACGCAGAAGATGCCCTCTCTCGTTAGAGGAAACACCAAGCTGTACCCCTTCTCGTCCATTCCCGATTTTCATTTCAAGGTGAGCTTTAGCGCTTTGTGTTTCATGAGAAGACTCATAGTCTATTATCTCAAGAAACGAGGGTTTCTTTTTTTTTTTTTGCAGTACACTTTTTGTAATATATTGCATTGTTTTCCTACGCCATTCGGCTCGTTCACCCTGATAACTCGTACATGAACGTCAGCCCATGAACTGATGATTTTCTCGTCTCTTTCCTCTCTCTCTATCTTTATATTCCCCTTTCTCGATCCCCCCGCGCAGGGTAGTAAACCGTATCTGTGACTGGTTAGCCTCCTTGCCCTCTTTCTTGTTGTTCTTTCTCCTCGCCACCTGATAACACGTAACATGTACTTCTCGATTAGTATTTCATGTTTCTTCCAAAAATGGCTTGTAGCAATTGCATGACAAAGTTGTGTTCGTTTAGTGTACTTTTGTTGAATATTTTGTTGCATCAGTTGTTTAAGCAACCTGCCTTTGTTAATTAAGATATGTCTGCACGTTATCCTCAGACTGTGTGAAAATAGCATAAAAGAATCTCAGTCTCGGGACTTGCAAATTAGTCGTGTAGGCGTGAGAACGTTCTAACAAGGCATTAATTATAGAACTGTGGGACACTGTGGTAACGTTATACGAAGTAGCGTCCTCAACATGGTGCGAAACGTTCGCGGGATGCACCGATCCACGACGGATTCCAGCCGCTATAACATTCAAGGAAATGTGCTGTATACCTAATACTACACACTTATATGTGATCACGCAGATAAAGTCCACGGGTCTGTTCAACCGGGACCTGAAGGTAAACGCAACCGAGGGTGCCATTCGACACTTGGACACCGCCCCACACCGCAAGGGCAGCTGCCAGCCACCGGTCCTGGTCGGTGGCAAAACCACAGTCGCCTGCGAACTGGACCTGAGTGGCATCAACACTACTTTCTTGGCTAAGGTGGGTGTGGTGGTTTTAAACATATAATTTAAAGTGTCTTTCTTGACACTTTAAAGAGAGAAGCTTTTAATAGGAGAGGCCTTTGTCCAGCAGTGGACATAGTCAGGCTGATGATGATGATGATGATGATGATGATGATAATGAAGATGATTATGATGATGATGATGTCTTTCTTCAGCAACGACGTTACTGCAACATCACTGCTCCGCTGAAGTGATCGCACCAGTGACGAGCATGCATACAGAAACCTCGAAATGAGAAAGTCCTGTATTTTGTAATACACCATATTCAGCATATACGGGCGTCAGGAAGAGGCAGCTTACTAAAGTAGGCGAACTATTTTTTTAATATGCTCAATGATAAGTAACTGCAGTTCGTGCATACTGACAGACAAATGAATAATCTAACAATACAGTTTCGTTATAAACTGCCGTTATTACACAAATGCCACTTGTGTTGTTTTTAGGTGCATTGCACCTCTTATCAGCCATCTGAGTGCGTTCAACCAGCCTTCCTTCAGTCAAGTACGATGAACTTCTGTTTCACCAAGTCAAGCATATCGGTGCTAGAGTTGCGTGAAATATTGTCCATTATTTCGCCCCCCCCCTCAACAATGCGTTTCTGAGAGCGATATATTTTGTTGAACAGTGGTGAGATTCGTTATCTGTAATGAGATATTCACACTAACAGGTATTGTGACGTACAAAGCAGAAAAAAAAACAACCTCCTAGACCTGTTTCCTGGACTGACTATTACAACATGGTCACCCTCTCTGAAAAAAAAAAACAGCATGTATGCAGCCTGTGGCAACGTTTTGCTGTTACCAAGCAGTAATTCTACACTACAGTTAATTTGGAAACATTCATGCTTCATCATTTAAAATGACATTTTTTTTAAATCTCAATCTATGACGCGAATTGATTATTAAATAACAGACAGCTAGAAAGTCCGCCGAAGTCTTCTTAGCAACAAGTGTAGGCTAAAGGCAATAATACTGCAGGCTTGTGGTAGCTGATTGGCTCGTCTTGTTCACAAAACCACGCCGCTCATGTCGGCACTGCCCCCACACTACGCAACATACATTCTTCGTTGAACACGGCAATGAAGGAAGTACTCATCCACATGGGGGACAGGAAAATTTGTAAACGTAACTCGGTGCTTGATTTGTCTAACAATTTTGCTTGAGGTTCACTAACATTGACACATTAGCCGCCACATCTTTACGCTCCAGGGAAAAGGACGCTATATTCGCGCAAACCATTCCACGTGATCGAGATACAAAGATGCACTAGCATTTCACTCGGCAAAGCGTTGTTGACGTGTTGGTTTAGACTGTAACAAGAAAGAGAATCAGAATCATTCTGAAGATATGCTGCCTAAAGGCATATGAGGCACAAGGAAGTACAGACATGTAAGCAACCCATTGCAGGCATTTATCGCGGATATCGTCTGCCCCCCCCCCCTTTTTTTTTTGTGGTGCGCTCTCTACAAGGAGTGCCTTTAGCTCCAAATATGCCGTACAATATGTCGCGTATATATTGAGGAAGCACTGACACTTCAACAAGCTGACATCTTGTTGACACAACGTTTACGGGACGAGAGTGAAGAATTAGGAAGCAAAGGACAGGCGCCGACTAGCAACTATTAGGAAGTACAACAAGCATATACATATGTAGGGGATGTATATAATCACAGAAGAAGGCACATACATAGTCAGAGTGGGAGGTGTGTAAACGTTTGTCTCAGATTCATTGAGAGTGACTAAGCCGCTTTTTATATCCGCCAATTCTCAGGAACGCGGCTACACACCCTTCTCTAGTGGCACGAGGATATTTTCCACAAGGATAGCAGCAGAAGTCATTGAGATCGTCTGAATTAGAAATAAATGTGATAACTGTGTCACCTGCTAAGGTGCTCTAGTGGTTAAGGCACTCGCTTCTCAGTGCTGACCCGCAGGTCACCGGATTGAATCCCGGCTGCGGCGGCTGCATTTTCGATAAAGCCGAGAATGCTTGATGCCTGTGTGCTTAAATTTAGGTTCACGTTACGGAACCCCAGGTGGTCAAAATTTCTCAAGCCCTCCATTACGGCGTCTCTCGAAATGATATGGTGGTTTTGGGTCGTTATTAAGTCCAACAATTATTACTTTTATGTGATAACTGTGTCAGCTTGGTGCTAATATCGCTCAGTGACGCAGAATTTATGTTAGCAGCATCTGCAAAATATATATCACAGTGTAGCTGTTTTTTTTCTTATCTTAGAGCTTTTTGTATTGTTTTTTAGTTTTTGGCTTAACTTGCGATTTTGCATGTACATGCTGTATTTCCTGATACAAATTTAGTTGCTAGCCCACTCCTGTTCAGTACATTTTAGAGGGGCCATGACACTCACGTTTCGCTCGTAATCTGTGTTAGGTGGGTTATTGTATGATTGTTCAAAAACAAACTGGCAAAACTTCAGCATGCTTCATCACGCGCTCAACTTAAAATTAATATTTTTACAAAAATGTGGGCAGCCGGAGAGTCCGCCAACATAGGTGCACTCGTGCCCCACCGTGGTGGCCTAGTGGCTAAGGTACTCGGCTGCTGACCCGCCGGTCGTGGGATTGAATCCCGGCTGCGGTGGCTGCATGTCCGATGAAGGCGGAAATGTTGTAGGCCCGTGTGCTCAGATTTGGGTGCACGTTAAAGGACCCCATGCGGTCTAAATTTCCGGAGACCTCCACTGCGGCGTCTCTCATAATCATATAGTGGTTTTGGGACGTTAAACCCCACATATCAATCAATCAATAGGGGCACTCGTAAGTGTCGACGTCACAAGCCGCTTGCTTTACGAACGTCTGCTTGCCAGCCAAATTTCAACTATTTTGTTTCGTGGCCACCTGGCTGAGAGTAAAGCGGAGCGATTTCAGCTTTATTTCATCTTGTCTTTTAAAAATAAACAATTTGCAGCGTGGCTGAAACTTAGGTAGACAAAAAAAAAATCACTGGCAGTGCGCGGGGTTCAGAGCCGGTGACTGTTATTGCTAATTTTGCAATAAATTATTCCATATTCTTTTACAGACCAGTTTCAAAATATGTACAGGCACTATAGAACGTCTACTCCTATTTTTTTTTCGCTTCAAACTACAGTTAGGTGGGTGACCGTGTCATGGCCCTTTTAACTTATCGTCTTCGTCCCATGAACGCTGCATCGACCAAAGAAGACCGATGTGTGCCTCTTGCTAACCTAACCTAACCTAACCTAACATAACCTAACATAACCTAACATAACCTAACGCGTAGCATCTCTTACTTTATTTTTTTCTTTACTCTTCCTTCCACACAGACAAAGGGTGACAACCTCGCGGGAACGATAAAGAGCATCTGGGTGAACGTGAATGCCACCAAAGTGCTGACCGACTTCGAGGCGGCCGCGCTGCCAGGCAAGGACGCCAGTGTTCAGACGTTCCGTATCAAGGAGCTCGAGCTGAAGACCAAGTACGACAAGTCACTCAGTCTTGGAGACGACCGCAAGAAGGACTTCAGGAAAGAATTTGAGAAGAAGGTGCAGACCTCCTTGTACGAAGTCATCTACAACGAGTACAAACAGGTGCTTCAGAGGGCCGTCGCAGACACCTACTTCCCCCGCGCGTAAAATTAAAAAAAAAAATGAAAAAGAAATGTGAGTGCCCATGGAATAATAGGGACACAAAGACCAAAAATTATCAATACACTGAATTTTTTGTACATAAAGGTCCTCTCATGAATATTTAGTGCTGCGGCTACGAGTACTGCAATCACAGTTGTGGCAAAGTTTGTGCCTCGTCACTGGAAGCACAGTTTGTTGTGTCATTAAAAAAAAAAGAAACGTTTGACAAGCAACACGACAACAACAACAACAACAACAACAACAGCAGCAACAACAACAACAACAACAACAACAACAACAACAACAACAACAACAACAACAACAACAACAACAACAACAACAACAACAACAACAACAACAACGACAACAACAACGACAACAACAACAACCAAAGTACAAGATATAAGAACAAGGGTGACAGAAAAATTTCAACAAAGGAGTGCCTTATGCACCACAATAGACAGGGATGTATCAAGTGGCACAATGGCTTCATTTTCACTACGAGAGTGGGAAAGGGCTGAGAAGAGGGTTCCAAGTAGTAGATCAACAGGCCCAGATGGCATTCCAATTATGCTGATAAAAACATTGGGTCCGAAGTCTAAACAGGCTTTGAAAGAGGCAGTGAGCAAAATAATAATCGATGGAGAAGTTCTTGATGAATGGAAACTTAGCAGGATGAGCATGATCTATAAAGGAAAGGAAGACAAAGCTGACATGAACAACTACCGTCCTATAACAGTGACATCAGTGGTCTACAGGCTGGCGATGCAGATTATAAAGGAAAAACTGCAGGTATGGATAGAGGATGAGGGGGTGCTGGGGTAACTGCAAAATTGGTTTCGGAAACGCAGGAGGTTGGAAGACAATCTGTTCTCACTGACGCAGTGCATCGAAATAGCACAAAAGGAACACAGGCCCCTGTGGCTAGCATTTTTGGATATCAAGGGAGCGTACGATAGCGTGATTCAAGAGGAATTGTGGGGAATACTGGACACACTAGGCGTGGAAGATGTAGTCACTAATTTGTTAAAGGAGATCTATAAAAGTAACAAGGTAGATATGAAGTGGGAAAAACAGGTATCTAAGCCCACAGAGGCGAAACGGGGGCTTAGGCAGAGTTGTCTTCTGTCACTCTTGTTATTCATGATGTACCTACAAGAATTAGAGGCCAAATTAGAGGGAAGTAGACTGGGACTCAACCTCTCTTTCTTCAAACAAGGAAAACTCATTGAACAGGCACTACCAGCATTGATGTACGGAGATAATATAGTGCCAATGGCCGACAACAAGGAAGATTTGCAGAGATTGGTGGACATCAGCGGTAATGAGGAAGATAGGTTAGATTTCAGATTCACTAAGGAAAAATCAGCAGTCATGATTTTTAATGACAATGAAGGTAGTGAGCTTAGAATACAGGAGGTCATGCTAGAGATAACAGATAAATACAAATATCTGGGCATATGAATAAACAATAGAGCCGAGTACCTAAGGGAACACGAAATATACGTGTCGACTAAAGGTAACAGGAATGCAGCGGTAATGAAAAGCAGGGCACTGTGGAATTACAATAGGTATGATGTTGTGAGAGGAATATGAAAAGGGGTCATGGTTCCTGGTCTGACGTTCGGCAATGCAGTCTTGTGCATGAGATCAAAAGTTCAAGCGAGATTAGAAATTAAGAAACGTGGAATAGGTAGGCTTGCCTTAGGAGCTCACGGGAATGCACCAAATCAGAAAGTACAAGGTGATATGGGATGGACATCATTTGAGGGCAGGGAAGCTAGCAGCAAGATAAAATTTGAAAAGCGATTGAGGTAAATGTGGGAGGAGCGTTGGGCTAGGAAGGTATTCAGCTACTTGTACATGAAGAATGTCGATACAAAATGGCGGAAGCGAACCAGAAAATAGACTGGTAAATGCTTGGAAAACAGCAGGGGGCCAAACCAAAAAGAATTATCGGTTAAGAAGAAGGTGAAGGAAGCTGAGACCGATATGTGGAGAATCGGCATGATTAAGAAGTCCGCACTAGAGATCTATCGAACTTTTAAGCAGGAAATTGCCAAGGAAAGGATCTATGATAATACTCGGGGTAGTTCTCTACTGTTTGAGGCCAGGACGGGAGTATTGCGAACAAAGACATATCAGGTCAAATACGAAGGGATAGACACGGTATGCAGTGCGTGTGGAGAGGAAGACGAAACTGCCGAACACAAAGGGCTTCACCCGGTAGTTCAGGTTGATGGCGCAGAACTGAAAGTTGGGCGAGTTGGTACTCATTCATGACTTCTTTGCGCAAACATGTACACGGACACAAGGAAAAGAGGCAAACAACACGGGCGCAAACTCACAACTAGTTTATTTTAAACAACGAACTGTACTTATATCTTCACGTAGCCCACACGCCCCCCCATCGGTGGATCCAGGAACAAACGAGATAACCTAAAGAAAGCTTATTCAGCGCTACGTCATGATAAGAACCACAAAACAACAAGAAATTGAAAAGGCACGTGCAACAATCCTTTTTGAAAGGCACGTGCAACAATCCGTCTGCAGATGCGTGAACTTTTCAATTTTTTGTTGTTTTGTGGTTCTTATCATGACGTAGCGCTGAATAAGCTTTCTTTAGGTTATCTCGTATGTTCCTGGATCCACCGATGGGGGGTCGTGTGGGCTACGTGAAGATATAAGTACAGTTCGTTGTTCAAAATAAACTAGTTGTGAGTTTGCGCCCGTGTTGTTTGCCTCTTTTCCTTGTGTCCGTGTACGTGTTTGCGCAAAGAAGTCATGAATGATGGCGCAGAGTTTTTCAAAGCACTGGGGTTAAGGGACAGTGAGGGCAAAATAGACTTTAAGCGGGTAGACTTAACTAGGAGGAGGTTATCTGATTGGTGGCTAAAGTCAAGGCACGAGTGGAAATTGAACCCTTCGCTGCAAAGTACGAATCCTCAACCTCGCTATTCAAGGGGAAAAAATGTAGTTTTTGGTTCATTAGGTATTACTTCTTGGTGGTGCTAGTCACTGCCCGATCTAAAGGATCCATCCATCCATCCATCCATCCATCCATCCATCCATCCATCCATCCGTCCGTCCGTCCGTCCGTCCGTCCGTCCGTCCGTCCGTCGTCCGTCCATCCATCCATCCATCCATCCATCCATCCATCCATCCATCCATCCATCCATCCATCCATCCATCCATCCATCCATTCATCCTCCCTCCCTCCCTCCCTCTCTCCCTTTTCCACAATTAAAATTATCAGAGAAGAACATGTTGTGACGCACTTAAAAAAAAAGTTGTAGAGGCTCTGAACACGGGTATATAGCTCATGGAAAATAAACAAGCACACTCTATCGCTTTTAACACAGATAACCCCCCAAAAAAGAAGCTGAAGTACTTGTGTCTCGCTAGGTGTTTGAAAGCCTTTCTCTGCGTTTTTTTTCTGCTGCTCATAAAGCATCGACGCTAAACAGACGCTGGAGAGGCTTGAAGAGCGCCGCAGCACGTTATGCATTCAAACTACTTAGAACCACTTCGGAACCGAGCGAATACGTCAGAATTGCTGTAGTTTCCTAGATACATGCATTATGAATCTACGGTTACGCTTCGTCCACACCAAATTACGGTCGTAATAGGGGCATTGTGCAGTCATATTTCTTTTCCTTGATTAGTATTGCCTCTGAGAAATAAAATTGGCCCTTGGTGTCAAGGACGTTGCCAAAGTGGTCTCCTTTGACATTTTCGCCATCAGTGAAATATACTCCGACACCATAGGCGCAACCAAACTTTGAACTAACACCTTGGACATTCAACTTATTGGTAGGGACTGAGGGGAAAGCAGCGCAAAACGGGACAAAGAAAGAGTGACCACACAACACAAGCACTTAAAGCGCTTACTACAACCCTAAGGTGCACATAAATATGAAATGAAAGACAAATCTGCCACGAGCCGAAATGTCGCAAGTTAGCAGGTGAAAAATGTTAGCATTTCATCTTTATGCGCAAGTGATGGTTGTGGTCAGCGCTTGTGTTGTGTGGTACCTCATTCATCTTCCCGTTTTTGCGCTGTTTCCCCCTGAGTATCATGCACAAACTTGGCCTTCAAGACTCCCTTAGGATGGGAGCTGAAGTTTTAATGCAATAGCATTAAAGAGCTCGTTTCGAAGAAATTCCGGTGTCGGCATCAGTGTCGGCGTCAGTGTAATTGGTTGTGTGCGAAAAATCAGCATCTTATGCGGGACCAAAAAATCGGGAACGATGAAAATAAAAATAAATTATAAAAAAAGTCTTGTAGCCGAGTCGGGACTGAAGAACGGTTGTTTGCGTTTAAGTGAGAATCGCACCCCGGTCATTTGCGGGGCAAGTGAATGTTCTACCACACGGCCACGCCTCTGCTTGTGAAAAAAATGAAAAGAAATTCCTCTGCTTGGAAATGCAGTAAAAGTAGCTTTTATGCTTCAACAACACACGCCTCCTGTATACATGCTTCACAATGCAACATGGAATATTGCAGTAATAACGTGTGATACAAGCGTCCATTGCCAATTGGTGCCAAAATATGTGATTATTATAATGGCTTTATGGTTGAAAGCTGCTACCCCACTACAAAATGCACACACGCTACTGCACCTATTCCCTTGAATACACGTAGTGGATGCATAGCAAATTCGAAAAAGTTTCCTGCACTAAGTGGTTGAAGTACGTACTAGAAACATGATGTCGCTATCGCGTTGAACTCCTAAAGGCGAAGCTTAGGGTCCCCTAATTTTTTGTTTCTAACAGGTTAGCTGTTAAATTTTTATTGAACCGGGTAGTGCGAACAGAAACAAAGCGTCATGCACTCCTCTTCTGCTTTGCTCCCACAACACGTGCGCCTATTGCCCGGCTATAGGATGCAATAATGACGATGCGTGAGTATGTTACGTGACGAAAAATTACGTATTATCGTGTAACGACTAGTCGCGGGGATAAAACCACGTGACATCACGCAACTATTATGCCTGAGAGTCAAGGCCAAACGTCATTGCCTCTGCAAAGGCAATCCGTGTCAAGGCCAGCGAGCGAGCCCACCAGACGCCATCAACTCAATGACGTCATCAAGCGGTGGCGCCGGTCTGTTTTACG